CCATAATCAGAATTAATGAAGTACAAACTGGATTCCAAAAAAGTTGGGACACTAAACAAATTGTGAATAAAAACTGAATGCAATGATGTGGAGGTGCCAACATCTAATCTTTTAATCAGAATAGAACACAAATCACAGATCAAAAGTTTAAACTGAGAGAATGTATCATTTTAAGGGAAAAATCTGTTGTTTCCAAATTTCATGGTGTCAACAAATCCCAAAAAAGTTGGGACCAGTCCATTTTTACCACTGTGTGGCATCCCCCCTTCTTCTTACAACACTCAACAACAGACGTCTGGGGACAGAGGAGACAAGTTTCTCAAGTTTAGAAATGGGAATACTCTCCCATTCATGTCTAATACAGGCCTCTAACTGTTCAAACGTCTTGGGCCTACTTTGTTGCACCTTCCTCTTTATGATGCGCCAAATGTTCTCTATAGGTGAAAGATCTGGACTGCAGACTGGCCATTTCAGTACCCGGATCCTTCTCCTACGTAGCCATGATGTTGTGATTGCTGCAGAATGTGGTCTGGCATTATCGTGTTGAAAAATGCAGGGTCTTCCCTGAAAGAGATGACGTCTAGATGGGAGCATATGTTGTTCTAGAACCTGAACATATTAATGGTGCCTTTCCAGACATGCAAGCTGCCCATGCCACAAGCGCTCATGCAACCCCATACCATCAGTGATGCATTCTTCTGAACGGAGCGTTGATAACAACTTGGGCTATCCTTGTCCTCTCTGGCCCGGATGACATGGCATCCCAGTGTTCCATAAAGAACTTCAAATCGTGACTCATCTGACCACAGACCAGTCTTCCATTTTGCCACACTCCATTTTAAATGACCCCTGGCCCAGTGCAAACGTCTGAGCTTGCTTAGAAATGGCTTCCTCTTTGCACTGTAGAGTTTCAGCTGGCAACGGCGGATGGCACGGTGGATTGTGTTCACTGACAATGCTTTCTGGAAGTATTCCTGAGCCCATTCTGTTATTTCCTTGACAGTGGCATTCCTGTTTGAGGTGCAGTGGCCTTTAAGGGCCCGTAGTTCACGAGCATCCAGTAGAGTTTTACGGCCTTGACCCTTACGCACAGCGATTGCTCCAGATTCTCTGAATCTTTTGATGATGTTGTGCACGGTTGATGACGATAACTTAAAAGTATTTGCTATTTTACGCTGGATAACACCATTCTGGTATTGCTGCACTATCTTTCTGCACAACAATGGTGGAATTGGTGATCCTCTTACCATCTTGGCTTCTGAGAGACACTGACACTCTGAGAAGCTCTTTTTATACCCAATCATGTTGTCAATTGACCTAATTAGTGTTAATTGGTCTTCCAGCTGTTTGTTATATGCACAATTTCCATTTGCCAGTCATTTATTGCTACTTGTCCCAACTTTTTTGGGATTTGTTGACACTGTGAAATTTTGAATCAACATATTTTTCCTTTAAAATGTTACATTTACTCAGATTAAACTTTTGATCTGTCATCTATGTTATTTACGAATAAAATATTGACATTTGCCATCTCCACATCATTGCATTCAGTTTTTATTCACAATTTGTTTAGTGTCCCAACTTTTTTGGGATCCGGTTTGTATTTCTATAGTATTTCTTAGCTAGCTTAGTATTTCTATTAAGTATTTCCATCTCTCTGATTTGCTACAGCCGTATGTCCCACCGCATTCCCTGAGGTCAGCGGACAAATTGCTCCTCACAGTTCCAGGAACTCGTCTTAAGCGCAGAGGTGACAGGGCCTTCTCTGTAGCAGGACCAAGACTTTGGAACGAGTTACCTCTGCTTGTCAGACAGGCCCCCTCCCTCTCGATTTTCAAATCCCGTTTAAAAACTCACTACTATTCAGTAGCTTTCAACACCAGAGGATCTGTGTTTTGATCCTGTACGCTCCACACTGGTTTGTCGTCATATTTATTATCTGCATCGATTTTATGTCTATATTTTTGATTTACTTCATTTTGTATATTGCTTCATGTGTTGCCTGTTGTTCTGTCTGTACAGCACTTTGGTTGGCCTTGTAGCTGTTTTTTAAGTGCTCTATAAATAAAATGGTATGGTATTTCAGATGACTGCTGAAACATCTTTAAAAAAAAACAAAGTCCATTTGGATTAAAAAGATTAACATATTTAAAAACAATATATGCATTTTCTCTCCACCTTATCACTTTTCTGTTTCCTACATAGTTTTATACGTGCATAAATTTAGACAAAGTTTGACTATTTTAATAAATAATTTTCTTTGGATTTTGGTTGAAAGAAGTTATTTAATCTGATCAGATAAAGTCATTTATTATCACTGCAAGTCAAGAAATTATTTACCAAGTTGCATCAGCTAAAATAGCATAACCAGATCAAGGCATCATGTCACCAGGTTCTGCTCCTTACTGGGTCAGTGTTGAAGGCACCAGATCACTCAGGATCAATGAATTAATAAATGTTTCCAGAGGTCAAAAAGTACAAAAGTGGTGATCAGGAACCAAAATACAGGTCATTGGGTTTGTTATTTAGAGATGTTGTACCAGTTCATCCTAAATAAGACCTAGTTCAAAATGATTTTCATCCATGTTAATATTAATCTATTCATGTTCATAGTTCAGCACCTAAGCATTTTTAAATGAAATTCACAGCTCCAACATGAACAGATTTTCATTGACCTTTGATGACCTCTGAAAACTTTTTTATTAATATCTTTGAAATAATAGCGGCACAAACAAACATTTTTGCTGCACAAACGTTTGACACCAATTTCATTAGATTTGAAGAAGGTGTGTGCGTGAGGGGGCAACTTCCCTCAAGTGCTGAGGTCGAGTTGCTGTCTGCGCTTCATCATACTGTCCCAAGGGCGTCAAAAGCATTTGTAATGTAGGGGGATGTCCTCTTCACATATAATGGTTGTGATGCCTATGGACTGTCCCCACGCAGTGATCCATGCCCACAGTACATGGAATCAGATATGAACTGAAAAAACAATGTGAATGAAGCTTAAACAGAGCTTCTCTGCACACCACCACCATCTCTGACCTGCTCTTTCTCAGTATTGTCAGACCACCTTTGACCAAGTTCAGTCCAGTCCTTTATCTGAGTTTGTGGGTGGCTAGAGGACACATTGCTACTGAGACATGGAGCAAGGTAAATGGACTGTATTTATATAACGCCTTGCCATCTTATCGAGATACTCAAGGCGCTTTACACTACAATCTGTGCCCTCATTTACCCATTCATACAGCACTCTACTAGATCTCTGCAAAGCTAATTGAACAAATAATTCTAAAGAGAATAATCAGCGTTTTATCACATTCATACACTGATGGGACACACATCGAAGGCAATGAGAGGTTCAGTGTCTTGCCCAGGGACACTTCGGCATGTGACTGCTGGTGGATTAGAACCCCCAACCTTTGCATTGGAGGACGACTGCTCTAACCACTCAGCCACAGCAGGATCAGCAGGAGCTGTGGATCAGGGAGGAGACACACATGACTGTGGTGTGGGACACTAATCAACTAGTAGATAAGAAATTATTCTGCACATTTATGAACCACACATAAAGTGTTTAAAAGTAAATTATCAATATGAACTGGCTTCAGTGGTGATTTTAGCCTCTTTTTGGGGGTGCTCAATCGCCCCTAAAGTTAACTCAGCACCTCTGAAAAATAAAGAAACCATCATTAGGATTTTGTAAGAACTCAGTTCTCAAAACTTATTCACCAAAATATTGGAAAAAAAATGGAATAAATGATGAGTTTTAAAATAATTTTTTTGTTAGTAGTCAAATCCTCAACCCACCTGTCAATCAATATTCACGTCAGCAACTGACCAATCAGCGACCTCAATTTGTCCTGAAGTGAACGCCCCTTAATTGTAGAGCTGGAGCGGTTTTGCATTCCTTGCAGTCAGAGATTTCAACGAGTTTAATCTATTTTATCATGTTAATATACTGTAATAAACACCAGAATGCAAGAAATGGCATCTACTTCACTCAAAATTATCTGGGGGAGGAGGACCCCAGACCCATTTTTAATACCCAGTCTTGTTTTTGTTTCTGAACAATTTAAAGAAAACGATCAAATAATTGTTTGATTATGATGATCATTACCTTCTGTAAATCATAAAAGCCTCAAGTTATGAATTATATTTTCTCACTAACCAGTCTTGTTTTATTAACATGCCTCCTGCGTCTTTGTGTGCGTGTGGAAGTGCAGCTAGTTTTGAAGATTTATCGTCTGATGAAACTGAATATTTTGCACATATTACTTTATGTCTAAACAAGTGCTTGGTGGTCTCAGGTGCACAACAGAGAAAATACAAGATGCTGTCCCAGAATTTATTGTACCAGAATCTTCTCAAACTTTTACAGACGTTATATTCACCTGATCGAAGTTGAATTTTGTTATACAAATGAGCAAAGGCTTGATGGAGGTCACAATACATTTTGCTATGAAGAAACCACTTCTTTCTGCTGCCTTTCATTTTAAATCTCTTGTATTTTTTTATATTGTTATGGAATTGTTTTGTATTTTTACAATGAATAAACTTTATACCATACCATACCATAAAAAAAAAAAGAAGTTACCTAAAAATATTATTTTAACAGTTTTCAGACCTGCAAGGTGAACACAGCAACAAGAGTTACATACTGGAGGAAAATAAATAAAGCACCAAACATACAAGTTTAACTGAAAAACCAAAAGATAAATAAATAAAAACCAGGATAAAGCTAAATCTGAAACTAAATCAAAAAGTAAACAAACGCCTTAAATGTGATGAACTTTGTTCAGATGTAACAGAAACATGTCAAGTGTTACGAGAACAAAAAAATGAACACAGAAAGAACTTAGATGCATAATATGAATTTCAAGATGTGTAAAATGAAACATGATTAAAATAATTAAAATAAAGATATACGATCTGAATGAAACCTTTTAGTGCTTTTATAAATTGTTCATTTCTATAGTTCTGGAGAAAAAAACCACACCCTGATTTGATAACATACCTCATAGAAAAATATCTCTTTTGAAGGAACTTTTTATTTGGCGTTCATGTGCAACAAAAACTTCTTTCCCTCTCCTTTTACTTGAACAGCTGAGTTGTAACTTTCTTGACTCCGTTCACAAGAGCAGAGTTCGCTTGTTTGGATTTCCCATCACTGCTCTCGCCTTCGTTGTTGCGCCAGCTGGGTTTCAGAGGCGTCAGCTCAGGTGCTATCACATCTCCATCCTGCATCGAAGCAAAACAGACAGTTGTATTAAGACAAGCGTAGAGCGTATAAAATATAAATGTAAATAAAAGGTGTTTTAAGAATTGTGAACGACTATCATTCTTGCAGCTTAAAAACTGACTTCTTATAAGAACTTCAAAACATTTATCATCCGAAAGCCAACCTTCAAGCAAAGCTACTTCTTCCACCTGAAGCTTTAATTGTGCAGTACTCATGTTAAAGCTGAACATACGGGTTAAATGCAGCCTTGTCCTAACATTTTCAAAACTTTGAGGGGAAACATGTTTTGAATTCAGCTACGTTCAGAGAGCTGTGAGGGTGAAAAGCTAAACTGGGCCAAACTCAAAGTTCTGGTGTAGGAAGGACAAAATCATGTAAACAACACGCTTTGTACAGTTAATAACAGTTGTTTAGAAAATATTATTAAGACATAAAAATGCAGCAGCTTTAAATCAGATCACGACCAACTGTTTATTTTTAAGTGCTGCAAAAATACCTGAGGCTTTGAGAAGTTTTTATTCATGCACCACTGAACAAACTGCTTCTTAGCAGCCTCCAGACTCTTCTCATCTTTCTTCTTGCAGCAAACCCTGATCAGCTGCTCAGCAAACTGTTCTGGAAGAAGTTTGGACACCTGGAACGAATGACAGCAGCACATAAAGAAGTTTATTTTAAATACCGTGGCAGTAACTATGCAAGTTTAAAAGGATGATCATGTTACAGCTGATAAGCAGATGGGGCATGAAATTATCAAAGGATGTGAGTTTTGTGATGTAGGCTTTTGTTCTGACCTGGTTTTTGCGTATTTGGATGGCTTTGGTTGGGTCCTCTTTGCAATAGAAACGCACATTGTTGATGGGGTTCTTTTCCTTCATCCCATAGTCCATAACAATTACCTGCAAGAGAAATAGTTTATAGGTTTTAAAGTACAGTAAGGCCATGTGTCATGAATCAAAAGATGACTATTAAAGCTAAGGCTGCAGTTGAAGAGAATAACTAAAATGTTTTATTGTCCCCTGAACACTTACATAAGGTTAAGTCACATCAGGTGGTAAACTTACACTGACTACAAAGTCGTCAGGCTGCAGACTGACATCCTGACTGCGACAGTGAGGGATGGATTGAGCCAGTTCTGCCTCCCAGCTGTGAATCAGTTCCTTGTGGAAAGAAAAAAAAAAAGTGGCAGAGTCAGACGCTTGTTTCAGCTGAGCAACATTAAGTTGAAATTTGTTAACTTCACAAAAGCACCGAAGATGCAAAAAGCACCAACCCATGTATCAGTAACAGAAGCTGTTTGATGAAATAGTGCATCTAATTTAAAAAAGCTAATAATGTGACAACCATTTAAGAGAAATGTCAAACTTCACAGCTGGACACCTTATGGGATTTTTATTAGTTTTGTGGTCAGGGGGACAAAAGTCAGGGTCAAATGTCACCACTTTTTATTTAAAACAGCTGTAATTTAATTACTATTTAACAGAAACGTCAGACTTCACAGCTGGAGATCTCATGGGTCATTAAAGATCTCTTGATTTCAAGGTCACATGATCAAAGGTCAAGGGCCACACTTTAAATAGTTCTAAATTAATAACTTTTATTTTGAAATGTCAAACTTCTGCTATGTCTGTGTCTGGCTCTTAGCTAGCATTTTTCTACTTCTGACCATGTCAGCCATTTTCAGCCTTTTGATAGATTTTTGCGACTTCTGTTTTATTTATGCTCCTTTTATCTTCTTTTTTGCCATTTACTGCCTATTCTGCTCATTTTAGCTTTTAATTTCAGCTAAAATTAATTTTTGTCTTCATAATTCAGTTATTTTTCTGTGTTTTGTGCTTCTTGCAACTTCATCTTGCCAATTTTCAGCTACTGAAGCATTTCAAGTAAGCGCTAGCTTTTTAAGCAACTTTCAGCAATATTTCAGTAAGAAGCATTCACACTGCATATTCGCAATACAGTAGTCCCTCACTACTTCGTGGTTCAACTTTCGTAGACTCACTCGTTCGCGGTTTTTCAAAGTAAGATTGGCTGATTGATGGATGAGCTGCACGAGTGGAATGGATAGATTATTTAAAATAAATTATTTTGAATGATGTAGCACCTGCTGCACCTGTGTGCAGCCCACAGGTGCAGGGAGAACTGCTGCTGCATTGTCATGATCTTCGCTTTCTGCCAACTGCCAGCGATTGCAGCGGAGAAGTGGGCGTGGCAGAGAGCAGCAGGTGGCAGGGAGTGGAGATCATGACATGCTGGACTCTTTTAGAGAATTTAGAGTTTAGAAACATTATTTAGAGCATTGCAAGAGTGTGGTAAGGGTTAAAAAAGCCTTATAATAATAAACTACTACTTACTAATACTTGTACTACTATTCCTACTTTGCAGTTTTTCACTTATCGTGGGGGGACAGGGAATGGAACCTCCGTGATAAACGAGGGACTACTGTAAATGCAATTTCTCTACTTCAAGATTTGCTTTTTCTATCTTGTCAGATGCAAGCAGGATTTTTGGGAACTCTGGACACTGTGGGATGTTTTAATTATCATTCCTAATTTTCTGACATTCACTAAAGCTAACATTTAAACTAAAACTAATCTTTGCATGCTCGGAGACAGAGGAACAACCTTCTAAATTTACGTAAACAAAAAACAGCTGCATGTCAGACAAAAACAAGCAGAGAATTCATACAACTCTGCTCTCCTTGGTAACTCGCAATGATTAGGTCCCAGATTTACTTTTGTTATGGCTATTTAATTTGCTGGATATTTATTATAAGACAGCTCCACAGAGACAATAAGAGTACAGCCAACGGCACATAAAACTTATTTTCTATTGACTTAATATGGGTCAGTAAAATGCCAATATACATCAAACACCAAAGCAAGAATTCTCTCACACAACAGTGAACAGAATATATGTCCATTATGTTTATACTTGATTGAGGTGGGAAGAAAGGTCAGTTTCACTGATAATGATGTTGTCCATGGTGTAAATCAATCAGGTCAACTCGTGTAAGAACACGAAGCTGCAGGTATTAGTTGCAGTGTGAAGAGCGGACCTGCTGATGACGACCAGCCAATCCAAACCATTTTAAACTCAGAGTAGTAGACTTCATGAGTACCTCTCAGATTTCTTTGATGGAAGTGGTCTTAATATAAATCAAACATTTGTGGAGTTATGCTACGGACAGCTTCTTGTGGACTGCCTTGTGAACAGATTTGGACAATTGAGGGTTTGACATTTCTATTTTACTAGGATGTCAAGCTGGGGAGCACTGACAAGGATTTAACAAAAGGTTCACTTATGACCTTGAGTCAGTGACCTTGAAATGAATAGGAATCATTCCTGACCCATGACGTGTTTAGCTGTACAGTTGGACATTTCTATGTTAAAGGGTTATCAATTTAGAGCTTGGACAAGAAATTGTCCACTGACAGAAGGATGGAGGGTACCATACCTTCACCACTTGCTCTTGCCGAGGGCGAATGCTTTTCACCTCCTCTCCCTCATCCACTTTGCTTTGCTGCTCTGTCCTGTCTGTGAAACTGCTTCTGAGCCTCTCTCTATATAACTTCCGAACCGTAATTTTGTGGATTTGGTCAGTTGGTCTCTCAACGCAAAGGACCAAATTTTTGAGACAAGCTTGAGCTGAACTGCCCGGACGACACGTATGCAGCTGGACATGTCTCTGGAGGAAGTGGAACGTGATGTGTCTATCTCTGCTGTCGATCGAGGACGCAGAAACTGCATATAATTGGATTTATGATAACAAGTTTCCTGTTTTTGGAATTGTCTGGTTCCTGGTTTATCAACATAGAAAGAAGACGGCCGCAGCTAATCTGGCCTGGTCAGGCTGCTGCCTATGTGAAGGTTTGCTCGGGGTCTTCTGCACCCAGACTTTATTGCTTAGCGGAGTGGATCGCAAATTGGATGTGATGTGTGAGAATCGCAGGCCATATGTGGCCCCTAGGACCTGCTGGCAAGATGGATCAAATCTCGGGGAATATTCTCAGGCACGGATCAGTGGTGTGTCCACTTTATTTGGACCTTTCAGAATCTACGTGAGACCAGCAAAGACTCAAGGCAGATAAAATTCAGAAAAGTTCTGCCTGTCTCCAAAACAAATGTTTATCTGAATTTGGCTCCCTTGGCTGGCCTTGCAGGCCACCTCATCTCAAATCGCCTGGAGGTTCTGTAATCTGACGCTCTGCCCTTCCGTTTAAGGAAGTCTATTGATCAACCTGAAGGAACCAGCTGAAAAAACATTCTGTCATAATTTCAAGACTCTTGATTCTCTCTGGCGTTGTCCTTGGGCAATCCCTGACACCCCTCGAGAATGTTTACGGATTTCACCGGAGGGAACTGCTGATTATTCCATTCTTATCAGAACTCCTACAGTGCCCCCGGGAGCGTCCTTGGATACTCTCTCCGATCTTGTCCCCCCTGCGGAATGCGTCACCATGTGCTTGTCTGGGCGAGGTGTTTTTTTCATTATCAGGGTTTTTCTTCTCAGCCAAGAAGAAAAAATTTGATAGGAATTTTTGTTGCCTCCAATTTCCTACATGGGTTCAGTTTCACTACTTTTTGTCTGTCTGAACAGGTCTCACTTGTAAATGAGTCTCTGAGGTTCAATGTGATTTATCTGTCTAAATAAAAGTTAAATGAAAAAAAAAAAACATCTCTTCTTATAAGGGGCATATAAAAACACAAACCTGGTTGACTTTCAAGGTCTTATCTGGCTGAGTTTGACCCAGACACTTGTAAAGGTTTCGTCGTAGTATGTTGTCCAGTATCTTCCTTGCCTCAGCGAGCTCCAGAGATGAGGAGTTTAGTATTTGTTCAAATACATTATCTACAAGGCAATGCAAGAACATTTTATGAGCAAACGACGATCGAATCCAAAACATGCAGTATCTGTTACAAAATAAAGCGTTTATCCGTCAAAAACAAGCTGGTTTAATTTCAGAGATTGTATAATTACCATTTAATCTAAGAGGGTTCAAAAGATTAACCTAACCCTTGTGCATTAAATTGTTATTGTTTGAATATAATTTAGACCTGATAAGCATTAACACAGAAAATAAGAGTTATACATTTTTCTTTGCTGATAACAGAATTGTTCAGCATTCCTGCCTGTTTTCAGACCAAGTGTAAACGTTCAGCTTTATGTACAATGTGTCTGACAGAAAAATGAAGACAAAACAAGACGATAATGAGTTTCCACAACTGGCTGAAAGTTAGAAACCAATCTGGTCAGTTCTGAAAATGATTTTTTTTTTTAAGAATTACTGATGAACTCTCACACATGCTATCACACGTTAGGGCTAAGTATTTCTGCTGAATACATTCTTATTCACAGTATCACAATTCAGTGATTCTCTCATTTCTCTTTTATTCTCTCATCCAACATGTTTTTTCTACAGTTGTGTAATTATTCTGGGTATTTACTGACCTGTCAGCTTGGTGTAGGCAACCATATCATCTATAGCTTTGGAGAGAGTGAAGATCTTCCCTTTAGAGCCTTCAATCTGGATGTGTTTATCTGCTTTTAAAAAGGCCTCCGTGATCCTGGAGAAACAAGTCCAAAATATCAGTATTGTTTTGAGAACCTCTCTGTGGACAGTACATTAATGTAAACCACAACCACTAACTTTTTGATCCAGGGTGTACTTACATGGTCTCGATGATGTTGCCCACTTTGTGCTGATAGGCTCTCCTGTGCAGACAGTTTCTTGTGTGGAACATGTCGTACAGATTGCCCACCTCCTGTTCAAAAAATAAAATAAAATTCTAAATTTTTACAGACCAACTCAAATATAAAAGTTCAGGGAAAAAAATAAAACAATTATTAAATCAGCACCTTGTCTCTTGTACAGATCTGCTTCTGCTCATCGACCTCACACACTCTGGCAAATTTCAGGAAGCGATGATAATCAAAATTATTCTGGATGCCCAAATGATAACAGTCCCTGAGAAAAGAGAGAGGGGAAAAATATGTGGAAGTTATTAAAGCAATATTTCAGATCTTTTGAACTGTATTCTGGGGGAAGATTACGATTAAATAACATCTTACCTATTGTAGATAGCTCTTTGAATAACCTCAGTTTGGTGAAATAGAATTTAATTCTGACTGGAAATATAAGCTAACAACTAGTCTGAATGAGACCAAGACCAAAGTAAACTGTTGCCATCTTAACTCCAGTCGCAAAAATTTAATTGCAGCTCATTTATTAATTTCTGACCACACACCTATTTATATTTACATAAACTTCTGTCTATTAGTAAGAGCAAATAGTAGCAACAGTTTTCTTTTTTTTTCATTTACCCTTTATTTATCCAGGTTGGTCTCATTGAGCCACGAGAACGTTGGTTACGTACTGTAACCCCAGATTCTATGAGTATAAGCGTAGCCCTTTAAGGCCTTCGCTTTAGTGGGTTTATCCCGTTATGCAGAGCATAAGCACTGAAAAAAATTAGTCCACGCCCACCTGCTGTGTGGGCCCCACCCGGTCCGTATAAATTACGTTAAGAGCGGGAAATCGGCTCCCAAAATAGCTTTTTCTTCAGCCATTTAGGAGCCAGTGAGGCCCGACGCTTAAAGGGCTACGCTTATACTCATAGAATCTGGGGTTACAGTACGTAACCAACGTTCTATGTCGTATAAGCTTCGCCCTTTAAGGCCTTCGCTTTAGTGGGTAAAGGGCGAAGCCGATGTGGTCCTCGCCTCACTGGGTCCATTCGAACACAGTAAGAAGCGGAAGCTTGCCCAAAAAACGTCTTGTCACTCAGCTCCCCGTGTGCATAAACTACGCATCGCGTAATTATGTGCCATGCACAGACGCATGTTGTGTAACTATGCGTTCTGACAAGCATGAATACCCCGGAAAAACTTTCAACGGGAAGAGGAAGTTGAAAAGAGGGGGGGAGGGGGGCATGAACCAACTGGTTCATGGCTGAACAGTATAAACAGATTAATGTCCATGAATTGATAAATAATCAAATGAACTGATTGGTAACAATAATCATGAACTGATTAGTGACAATAGAACCAGAACACAGACACGACTGTGACTGATAACAACATCTCACACTGTAATGCATGCAGACAGAAGTGAGCTTAAACAGAGTTCCATGAGAACAACAATATTCATTCTGTTAGAGCACTAAGGACAGAATGTGTCATGGAACGAACCGTTACATCACGTAGGTAAAAGCGAATAAATGAGCAGGGTGTTGACCATGCAGCCGCAGTGCAAATGTCCTGCATTGACATACCATTATGCAGAGCAGTCGAAGATGCAATACCCCTGGTGGAGTGTGCTTTGAGGTTGACAGGAGGCCCTAAATCTGATGCTCTGTAGGCTTCAGAAAAAGGCCTCACACAGCCAGTGTGACAAGCGCTGGATGGATAACGGCGACCTGCAGAAGCATCTCTATAATGCACAAACAATTGTTGAATTTGAACGCATTGCAGCTGTGCGCGTTACGTAACACGTCAACGCCTGCACCGGGCAGAGAAGATGAACAGATGCTTCCCCTTCTGATCTGTGGGAGGGAAAAAACCCCTCCAACGATATCACTCTTGATTTAAAAGAGCTCGTGATGTTTTAGGCATAAAAGCTGGGTTGGTCTTAAATCAGCTGAGCTGCCCGTCAGCCTAATTCTAAGGCATGACGAAGCAACAGAGAGGGCAGATAAATACTTACCCTCTTAGCGGGTGTTAAAACCAGCAACAGGGCTGTTAAAAGAGACAAGAATTTAAATGAAACCTGATCCAGAAGCTCAATTGAAGCTTTGATCAGGGCTCGCAGGACCAGCGTTAAACCCACTGTGGAACAAGTGGGCGTGAAAACAGGCCTACATCTCTGTACACCTTTTAGAAACCGCTTCATCAGCGGGTGATAAAAGCTGTTCTGTCTCCAAACCCTTTGTGGCAGGAAGAGATGGCTGCAATCGTACGTTAAAGCGTACTGAAAGCCAACTCCCTATCCATCAGCTGTTGTAGAAAAACAACACGCCGCCTAAAAGGCATGAAGTGGTCTCTAAACCTTCTTTGTGCACCAGCGCTGAAAAGCCGTCGCCTTGATGTGTACAGAACTGTGGTAGATGCAGCACGTGAATCTTGAATTGTGCACACTATCTCCTGAGGGAGACCCATCCTCTAAGTGGAACCGCTCAGCGGTCAGACCCACCGGTGTTGACCTATTTCTGGGTAACTCTTGGTCGCTCCTCCTGTCTGAAGGAGAGCATCCTTCCTCCATGACAGTTCCACGGCGACCCAACAACAGACGTTGCAGGCCTGGGAACCATAGTGCGTTCACACGCCGGGAGCCACCAGGAGAGCTGTCAATCCCTCCTCTTGAACTCGGTTCATGGACCGTAAAAAACAGAGGAGGTGGGGGAAAAGAAACGCGTAAAAAGCGTTTTGGGCCACCGACTGTGAGCAAATGCGTCCCCCCCCAGCGATGGATCGTCTCGCGGGCTCAGGGAAAACCGTAGTTGACATTGAGCGTTCTTCTCGCATCGCAAACAGGTCCACAGCTGCTTTGCCAACTTCTGCTGCGTCTGAAAAACATCAGATCCGGATGGAGGATCCGGTCCACGTAACGTGGGCCGCCCTTGGACGTCACATCAGAACATCGGATATGTAAACCGCTCTAATAAAAGCAGGTTTTGATGAACCCAACTCAGTAGCTTTCGCACAATGTGTAACATCTGGGCTGAACGCACACCCTGATGGTTATGTACGCAGCAGTCATCATGATGTCTGTGTGAATCAACACGTGTTGATTCTGTAGCACAGGAGCAAAGTGTTGAATCACATTCAGTACTGTGCGACACTCCAAAACATTGATGTGGGCTGATGTGTAGTGGGGCCACAGCACCCCTACTGCTTGAGATAGGTATGTCCCCCCCCCAGCCTGACAGCAACGTGTCCGTGAAGACTGACCCATGACGTGGGTCTGCTGAGGGGGACTCCCTCTGATAGAAAAACAAGGTGTTTCCCCAGAGTCGGAGGTCTGCTTCCACAGAGGAAAAGACAATGATCATGTGTCGTTTGTTTTACTGGATCCACATGCAGACGTGCAAAAACACCTCTAGAGGCGTCTCATGTGATAAATTAGTTTTCATGGTGGTTGAATTTAATTCCACTCCAGAAAACAAATGTCTGGGCCGGGAAAATCGAGCTTCCTTCCACTTATGGCGAAGCCCAGATTAACAGGTGTGATGTCAACACCTGATCCTGCATCAGCGCCTCCTGTCTGAAGTGACAGGATCCGCAGATCATCCAGGTAAAACAAAAAACTCTCGTCTCTGTGTTTTAGGATGATCGGTATGCGTTCTCTGGATGTTAAACAACAGATCCAAGAACGGTCTCACCCCTCCGATCCGTGAGTAAAAACCCTCGTGTTTTCTCTCCCTTGGGGAACTCTGTAGATTACTTTTATCAGAAAACACTTGGATTTCTGCATTTAGGGAGAGAATCAGTCTGATGATGATGACGGGACCGTTTATATAACTCCTCTGAATGGAGGGGTTCGGGTTGCAAACTGTAACTTGTACCATTTGCATAAACCCTGTCCATCCATCTGAAAAACGGCGAGCATGTTTAGCCACTCTACGTAACGTTCGTGGATGAACGTGCGTTAATGATGCGTCATGTTTTGTACGGCTGTCAGCAGTCCGTCCCTCAACCGCCGTCATGCGTCGCGGGAATGTTTTCTGTGTGACCCCGGGCGAGACTTGAGCTGAAGGCGAAGCGTGTGACAGCTGATGACGCGGTGAGCTGCGCGTTTGACGTCGCTGTGCGAACGTTGAAAGGCGGAGGGCGTGACTTCATTTACACCGTGCTGTTGGAGTGAAGGCTGCTTAGCCCCGCGGGAGCACACGTTGTTCTCTGGAGGGACGCGCGCCGCTCTCGCTGGAGGGGCGCGCGCTGTAGGGAGGTGGGACTCATTACCGGGTTCTTCGGCTGCTTCACGTTTAAGCTGCGGTGAGCTGCCGAAAGCTGAGAGAGAAGGACCCCCACCCGGACCAGCCTGCGGACCACATTTATACCGATGTGAGCTGGTTAGCGCCGGCAGCTGTGTGTGCGCCAGCATCAACGCAGCACCGTTGAATGGAGGCTGTCATCTTAGTGTTCGACTCGTCATGTCAAGAGCGGCGGTGAATTAAAAACCCTATTTAAGGACACCGGCTCATGTCGAGGCTGTTCCATCCCACAAATGCGAGTTGACACCGCTTGAGTGAGGATCATGCAGTTCTAGTTGGTAATGAGTTATTTTCGCTTACCGTTGTGCCGTGATCGACCCGTCATGTCTAGAGCGACGGTGAGTTTAAAAAACCTTTATTTAAGGACACCGGCTCATGTGGAGGCTGTTCTGTGATCGACTCGTCATGTCTAGAGCGACGGTGAGTTTAAAAACCTTTAATTAAGGACGCCGGCTCATGTGTGGAGGCTGTCCTGTGATCGACTAGTCATGTCTAGAGCGACGGTGAGTTAAAAACCTTTAATTAAGGACACCGGCTCATGTGTGGAGGCTGTTCTGTGATCGACTCGTCATGTCTTAGAGCGACGGTGAGTTAAAAACCTTTATTTAAGGACACCGGCTCGTGTGTGGGGCTGTTTCATCCCACGAGTGCGCTCTTATGTGTGCGGCCGCTGTGAGCTGATCCGGGCTTACAGACTGGCTAAAAAACAGACACTTGGATCATTAATGATGATTTATTTCAACTTTCGTGTCACTTTTACACACACCCTCCGGAGACCGTCATTTGAGAGCTTTCTCTCTCATGAGCTCTGCGATTGTTTGCCCAGAGCGCTGTCTTGCAGGCGAACTCTGGGGAAACGCTGAGCTGCAGGCTGCCGGAGTGCAGAGGGCTGGATTCTGACGGGCGGGGCTGGTGGTGGAACTCAGCGAGAGCCGCGGCCGTGGAAAAGTCGAAAACTTGCTCGCGACGGTCCCTCCAGCGGGGACGGGGTGGGCCGCGCGGCTTGATGAGGTGGCGAACAGCTTTTGGCACCTCCTCCGACTGTTTCACTTCGCCAGCATGGTTTGAAGCTGCTCTGAACAGCGCGTCCGCGATGGGCTTCATCAGGTCTTGTGCAGATTCTCCGGCAGCGAGGGGAGTAACGAAGCCAGGTGGATCGTTGGGTCATCGTCCTCCGCGCTGCAGTCCCCGACAAGGCAAACCGTGGGAGAGGCACACATGTTGAGCTGGCGTCAGCTGCTTTACAGAGGGAGATCTTCGTCTCCAAGGCAGGTCTGCGGCCTTCAATCCCTTGGACATGCTATATGCTAGCAGCGCACGTTGTTGCTAGCTGCGGCTGCCTGAAAAAACACGTCGGTGGGCTCGATTGGAGAGCGTGGTCGCCGTCTGTGTTCCTCCGGAGGGACGGGACGCTGCTCCGACCTGGGCAGCTTCGCT